TATAATATCTTTGAACTGGGTTATATGGCAGTGTGGACTCAGGTAACCCAGGGCCCTTCCATACATCCATATAATCCTTTGGCCTCGAGGAGACTGAAATGGGCCAATTTTAGGTTGCCACTTCAGTTGTGTATTGATAGCTTAGAAACCAACTCTTCCTCTTTTCTTTCTTTCCCATTTCTCCACAATGGGCAACAGCAATGCGTGGCAGGGTACAGCTAGTATCTGATAAATTTGGACCGGAAGATTTTAAGAGCCAGTTAAGATGAAGAAAATTTCCTCCTCCCCCCTCCTTTTTTTTGTTTTTGTTTGTTTTGTTTTGTTTTTTGATGTTTGAAATGGGACTTTCTCAGTTAAGAGGAGAAAAGATCAAATTGCTTCAAGTTATTTGTTTATCATGTCAGAAGCGAACCAAAATTGTTGTATTGCATTAAAAACAAACAAACAAAACAAAACACAAAGTTTGCAGACTTGGTATTCTATTAAACATCCTTTGACCAGTATCTGGCCACTTGGAGTGCCTCTGGTGTTGCTGCAAGAAAGTCCTCCGTTGTGCATGTGGCAGGGCTCAGGTTGCATTGCAGTCGGTGGTCAGTGGTTTGCTCTTCTCCACACTCGCATGTCGTGGGTGCCACTTTGTAACCCCATTTCTTATGGTTGTCTCTGCATCTCGTGGTGCCAGAGCGCAGTCTGTTCAGCGCCTTCCAAGTCGCCCAGTTTTCTGTGTGCCCAGGAGGGAGTCTCTCATTTAGTATCAGCCATTGGTGGAGGTTCTGGGTTTGAGCCTGCCACTTTTGGACTCTCGCTTGCTGAGGTGTTCCAGTGAGTGTCTCTGTAGATCTTAGAAAACTATTTCTTGATTTAAGTCGTTGGCATGCTGGCTGATACCCAAACAGGGGGTGGGCCAGAGATGTCACTGCCTTGGTCCTTTCACTATTGGTTGCTACTCCCCGGCGAATGTCAGGTGGTGCAATACCAGCTAAACAGTGCAATTTCTCCAGTGGTGTAGGGCGCAGACACCTCTTGATAATGCAGTATGTCTCATTAAGAACCACATCCACTGTTTTAGCATGGTGAGATGTGTTCCACGCTGGGCATGCATACTCAGCAGAGTAGCATAGCTCAAGGGCAGATGTCTTCACTGTATCTGGTTGTGATCTCCAGGTTGTGCCAGTCAGCTTTTATATAATATTGTTTCTACCACCCACTTTTTGCTTGATATTCAGGCAGTGCTCTTGTAGGTCAGAGCACGGTTTAAACAATTTGAAAACACTTTAATATGTCTATATTTCTAGATAAATCCCAAAAGCTAAAATCTTCTTAATTACAAAGACTGCAGATAACATCCTGAATTCCAGTAGCTACGATAGAGAATAATTTATGACATCTGCTGCCAGAAAAAGCAAAACTCTACAGTACTACCTATGCAGGAACAAACTATTTTGATTTATGTTTGCTGTTAGCCAGAAAGGCTGAAATTAACCTCTTTCTTGCTCAAAATATTGGAGTTCAAAGAAGCAAAACCAAGAATTAAACAGAATCTCTAAGATATCATATCTGAAGCTAACTAAATTTTAACAGTTACAAATCAAATCCCAGAAAAGCTGAAAGGACTAACAGACCAGACCACAGATAAGACTAAAGACATAACAGACCCTATCGACCAAGGATTGCTAGTTCATAAAAAAGAGCCAGTATTTGAACTAGGCTTCTATAAGATTGGGTACATAAATGAGATGGAAGGACACACGCTGAGACAAATTCATCTTCAAAACAATGAACAAAAAACTCCACATAACCTTACAGGGAAGATGCTGAAGTTTTCAAGTTTCAACAAAAGAGATAAACAAAGATGGCTTGATAATCTGCAAGAAAGCCTGTGTGGATCTTCTGAGAGCCCTTTCAGATGGAATAAATGTGTTAAATTTCAATGAACATATTGTTACTTTAAGGATGGCCTGATTTACAAGAAAATAATTGAGAATGGACTGGGATAAGTGAAAAGATTAAAATAACCCAACACCTTTTTGGGTGGAATGGAGTGGATTGATGAAATAAAGAAAAAGAAAAGGATGAAATTACAAGTACTCAACAGTTGACAAAGTGTTTAAACTGCTGCCAGTAATATCATCTGTGGGCAGATGGAACATCTGAGATGGTGTAAGAAATATAGTAAGCTATTACATTGATATTATATTGAATAAATGTTGAAATACAATAAAATTAATCTAGATTTGAAGAGGAAAATATAACATGACATGATTAATCGATCAAATATTATGGTAATGGTGTAAATATGAATTTATTAAAATGTATACAAATTGGAAATCTAGCCAAATTGTTAATATTAGTTATATACACATTTTAAATATTTTGTTTTATATTTAGCAGAATATTTTCTTATACATTCTTTTGTGACATTACTTTTTCTTTCCTTCATTTCCCATGTACTGAGCTCGCGCCCTCCAAATGGGATGTTTAGCCTCACAACTATGTGTGTTTTATGAGTTCCCCGTAAATGCCCTGCTCCTATTTTATCTCATTACAGTCTTTTAATTGTTTTATCCTTTACATTGGACCGGTCATTGTTATTGTTACTGTGATTGTGTTTATTAGAATGTTATTTTATGACTGCTTTTTTCCTTATGTAATTTTGATGATGTTGTTGTTGTTTATGCTTTGATTTTATTGCTGTAATATGTTGTCCGGGCTTGACCCCATGTAAGCCGCTCCGAGTCCCCATTGGGGAGATGGTGGCGGGGTATAAATAAAGATTATTATTATTATTATTATTATTATTATTATTATTAGGAAACGCAGAATTTTAAGAAAGAAAAAAGGAGAAGAGATAGATTGTCCGCTATAACGCTTTGATTCATATACGAGCGATATTTTTTAAGTAAGGTCCGTTTTGTTGTAGACACTAGTGGTTCGCGCACATACCGCAACGAGTGTGTGCGTCATGTACCGGCATGCCTCGGGAACAACTGTGCTCAGTTTCCGCTCTGTAGATAACCTGTACGGTTCTGTTCTGTGCTTTAAAAATGTTTAAGACTATCAACTCACCCTCCGCATGTGAGGTTCGCTCAGTGATACGGTTTTTGTCAGCAAGGAACCTGCCTGCTGCAGAAATTCATCGACAGATTTGTGAAGTGTACGGTGATACTGTTATGAGTGAAAGCAAAGTGCGTAAGTGGGTACGACAATTCAAAGATGGCCGTGACAACGTCCATGATGAGGACCGCTCCGATCGCCCTTCTTTGATTACAGACAATTTGGTTATCGGAGCAAGCAGGTTTTTATGAAGAGGGTATTTTAAAATTGGTTCAGAGGTATGATAAGTGTTTGAACAAACTTGGCAACTATGTCGAAAAATAGAGTGAAGTATTACTTTCTGAAAATAAATTTACTTTTTTGAAATAAACTTTCATTGTGTACTTATGTTCAAACGGACCTTACTTAAAAAATACCCCTCGTATATGCCTTTCTTGCTTTTTTGCAGAAGTGATTCTCCTCCAGTATTTACCTTATTTTCTTTTTTTGACACTTGACAACATGTTTTTGGTGCTGTTTTGTCTTTGTTTGCTGCTGTTTTAATTTAAATACTCAGTATTGTATTTGGACTCTTTCCTTCCTCAACTGTAAGTGGACAGGAGAGGTGAGAAATAGAAATATTTCTCATCAATCATCTGGCAGCAGCCATACATCAGTCTGCTTTATCGGAGGGGGGAGAGAATGGGAAGTACATTTTCAGTGTTCTCTGTTAAGATGCTGTCTGCCTTTTTGTTTCCACTTTTCAAACTCTTTCAGTTCGTGTATGTAAGGATTATAAGATGTATAAACCTGAATTATGGCATATATATAATTAAATTTATAAGAGAAAGATAAAAATTGCATTTCCAGAAGCTGGATCTATCAATCTTGAAAAAACTCTAGCAAAAAAGGCACATCTTATTTTCTTTCATCTTTCTTGAAAATAGGTTTTAGAGCACATCAACTGGCATGTAATTTATCTAGTTTGGGTGGGGAAAAAACTGTTCAAGGCCAACCTGGATTTTAAAAATATTCTCTATATTGTAATTGAGAATTAAGTGGAAATTAAAATCAAGTATTGTGCTGGTACGGCTGTACCAGGAGCTCCAAATGTATTTGCTTTGTATTAAATGTTTGCTTGCAGCCCTGGGTTTCAGGGACTCTGCAGATAGGTGGCTTCCTTTGGTTGCAGTCATAGGGCAAGTCACCTGTCCATCATTGTTAAGTTTTGATTCCGCCCCTTGCTCAGGGTAATTGGGAAGGGAAGGAGCCATTTTTAGTTAGTCTCAGCAAGGAAAGCTAATGTACAGGACGTGTGCAAGCTTCCCCTGTACAAAAGCTTCAACCCTTAAGACTTTCCGGGGTGAAACAGTCTTAAGAGTCTCCAAAGATTTCCAGGAAAACAGCCCTAAAGACCAAAGAACTCCAGCTGGAGAATATCTAAGCCTTTACTGGTAGGTCCACTCGGTGCTTCGAGACGCAGTTCAACCTGGTAGCGGAGCCCACATCAGTAAGGGTTAGATTACAGTCAGCCTGGGAGAAGTTAAAAAAGGGATTTTCCTTTAAAGTAAAGAAGAAGTTATTGAAGACAGTTGCCTGTCCTTCGTGGGCAAGATTAGGAAGCCACCACTTGCATAAAGCCTGGAAGCATTTGTTTAGCTTTATTGAAGACAAGAGAATTTTCTGTTTGATTGTTCATTAATAAAGACTTTGTTATACTTCACAAGCCATCTAAAAATCATTTGTGGTGGAAAACCTCTGAGAACTTCTCTTTGGGCCCCCTGGCTTCCCACTGGGCAAAGGTTGCACGTCCTGTTCTAAAGGAAATTCTTTACAGGCCCAGCGCGCGACAGAACAAGTATTAACCACACATTTTTGACATTTCCAAAAGAATATCAGATAATATTCATCTATATGTAAATCTGTATTTTTCTAACCATTTAAAAAAAGTTATGATTTCTCACCAGCTGCAACAGATGTGTCCTTTTCATTTGATGTTGGAAATGGCCCAGTGGAGATTGTTGTGAGATCTTTCAGTCCACTCAATGATGATCAATGGCATCGGGTTACTGCTGAGAGGAATGTTAAAGAGGCCAGCCTGCAAGTGGACCAGCTCCCCAAAGAGATCCGTAAAGCACCCTCAGAAGGTCACACCCGACTAGAACTGTACAGCCAGCTATATGTTGGTAAGCAGAAGTAGTATGTTGTTAATCTACATTAAAAGCACTACATTTCAATATGCTCTTTGTTTCTGTAATCCAGAGATTCTCAACCTTTTTGACTTTCAGAGCTCTTTTTAGAATCAATTTATATGGCGAAGCCTCTCTGGCCTACCCTATGTCTTACGAGTTAATGGTGTTTAGAAGTAGTGTTACAGGGGGAGGAAGAGGGGATAGATAGTAAGGGAATGTAAAGTAAAGAGATAGCTAAACAATTATGCAATGTTTATGCAATGAAATTGTATTGTAAAAACTTTGAAATCTAATCTATGTATATAATAAAAGTCAGTGTTTGTATGCGGCAGATGGAAGTGCGGAGGACGTAGGGCAGTGTATGTGCCAGCTTTCTGATTGGCTGCCACTGTGGTACTATTTGCATATGGTCTCTGATTGGCCAGCCTGAAAGTTCCAAGATTCTGAGGTGACAAGAGAGGAGAGAAAAAGGGCTGAGGTTGTGTCAGAAAATTACCAATACAGACCAAACTTGGCACACAGAGCCCGCAAGACCCATTCTACATCCTACTGCAGTTTGGAGGAGGATGGACCATGGATGATGGGACTTGCAGTACCATCACTCACTTTCTGAGACCGTTGTGAACCTCATCCAATGACTTATCAAGACCAAACTTGGCACACTGAGTCTCCATGATGCACTCTACATCCTGGTTCGGTTTGGAGGAGGGTGCACCATAAATGATGGGATCTGCAATACCTGCACTCCCTTCCTAAGACCAATACAATTTATTTATTTATTTATTATTTACCTTACTTATATACCGCTGTTCTCAGCCCGAAGGCGACTCACAGCGATTCACAACAAATACGAACAGCAAAAATCCAGTGCTACAGTATAACTGCCAACAATGATGGATCAGGACCACAAGTCACACTGAGAGCCCACATGACCCACTCTACATCCTGGTGCGGTTTGAAAGAGGATGGACGATGGATGATGGGACTTGCAGTACCTTCCCTCACTTCCTGAAACCACAGCAACACTCATCCAAATACCAATAAAGACCAAACTTGGCACAGAGAGACCCCATGGCCAACTCAATATTCTAGTGAGGTTTTTTTTTATTTATTTATTTATTATATTTCACAACATTAAAAAACAACTAGGACAACCACAGACAAAGACAACGAAATACAAATAGACAAATACATTAAAAACCCAGCCAACAACAGTGGCCGAACCTCCTCCCCCCCACTCTGATGTATCAAGATTTTGCCTTGTACTTAACTCTCTATCTTCTTTTTCTTTAATTTTTTTAATTAATTTATTTATTTATTTATTTATTGTACATATATATACTTGTTTATATCTACGCCTATAAACGTATTTCTTTAACTTTCTTAATTCGCCCCTATATATATATATCCTCGTACCCACTTTTAAAGCTTCAATATTTTTCAGTCTCTTACTTGTCCTTTACTTAACGCTGACATTTTCTTATCATTGCGTTCCTTTTCACCTATTGTCCTTTGCCTTTCTCATCTTCCTATCCAGTTTTGACTGTGGGGTTCTAGCTCTCTTATTTTCCCGGATCTATTTAATTGTTCAGAGTTGTATTCCCGCCTAAGTGTTAGGATCACGTAGTTTGCAGGGGGTTCTATATACTTCCCCTTGAAAGCTCATCTAGATTTACCTTATTGTCCCAACAATACTTTTGAACATTTTATATCGCAACTGGTTCTATGAAGTTATATGTTCGATGTCACTAAATATTTATCAGCCATGAGTAGTTATAGATAGGGCACCGTTTTTATGTGTGAGAGTTCATCCCCCCTTACAATGCAGACTTAAGCTGGACATAAGTGGTTGAATGACCTCATATTGTGCTCAAGATAATATCCGTTTTTAATGAGGGGAGGTCCATATGCTAGGAAATATGTAATATTCTAGTGAGGTTTGGGGGAGACCAGACTATGGATGATGGGACTTCAAGTACCTCCACTCACTTCCCAAGGCTTCTGCAACACTCATCTAATGACCAATCAAGACCAAACTTGGCACACAGAGCCCCCATGACCCACTCTCCATCCTGGAGCAGTTTGGAGGAAGATGGACCACAGATGATGGGACTCACAGTACTTTCACTAACTTCCTGAGACCACTGCGAGCCATACAAATAACTGATAAAGTCCAATCTTGATACACAATTCCTTTCTCAAATAACCCGGGCAGCGCCGGGTCCCCAAGCTAGTAATAATAATAATAATAATAATAATAATAATAATAATAATAATATCAACTTTATTTATATCCCTCCCTATCTCCCCGAGGAGACTCAGGGTATTATTTGTTTGTTTGTTTACTATATTTGTATACCACCCTTCTCAATCCTTAGACGACTCAGGGCGGTTTACAATGGCAATGATTCGATGACCAAAAACACCATAAAACATTTAAAAACATTAACACATAATATAAAACCATTGCAAGAATACTAAAAGCATACATCATTTGCGTCTCCTAATAAAAACATTGTCCCATCTCATCATCCAGTCGTTCCAATTCCTATGTCTTTTACCTTGCATTTTCAAATGCTTGCTCAAACAACCAAGTCTTTTTTTTATTTCAACATTTTCAAAAAAAAGAAAAAAGGCATCCAAGATTACAATGAAAGTGGGGGGACAATGTGCTTGCTTTAGAAAGAAGGAAAATAAAGGAAAGAGCAAGAAGAAAGAAGAGAAAAAAAGAGCAAGGGGGGAAGGGGGGAAGTGATGGCTTCCAGTTCGGTCCACAGGGACGTAAACAATTGTGTCCATTTAGTTTTCGACATTATAACTTAGATACTTTTCTCTATATTAGTTGATATATCCTTCATCCTTAGAGTTGGAGTTGCATATCTTCCTGCATAAACCTTCTAAGAGGCTCCCAATTCGTCTGTTTATTCTTATTTTTATTGCCAATGTATTGTGATAAGTTGTCCATGCTCATATAGTCTAGGATTTTGTTTATCCAATCACCAATTTGTGGAGGGTCTTTCTCTTTCCATTTTTGGGCAATTGTCGTTCTTGCCACAGCTGATATATAAAAAAAATCTTCTCTTCGTTTTCACCTAAATTCAGGTTTGTTATGTTCAACAGATAAAATTCCGGTTTCAACTCAATCAAACAACCAAGTCTTGACTCTCTTCTGAAATGTTAAGGGGGGGGGGGCAATCTAATCTTCCCTGGAAGGACATTCCATAGCCGAGGGACCACCACTGAGAAGGCCCTGTCTCTCGTCCCCACCAAATGTGTTTGTGATGCAGGCGGGATCGAGAGCAGGGCCTCCCTGGATGATCTTAAAGTCCTAGCAGGTTCATAAGGGAAGATACATTCAGACAGGTAAGTTGAGCCAGAAATGTTTAAAGCCAGTACTTTGACTTCTGCCCAGTAGCAGACTGGCAGCCAGTGGAGCTGGCACAGCAGAGGAGTTGTATACTCCCTCAGTGTCGCTCCTGTTAGTAATCTGGCTACCATCCGCTGGACTAATTGAAGCTACCGGACAGTCTTCAAAGGCAACCCCACGTAGAGCGCATTGCAGTAGTCCCTCTCTCCCTCCCAATTTGTTGTCATCAGCAAATTTGATAAGCATGTTTTCTATTCTGTTGTCCAAGTCATTGATAATGATGTTGAATAGTATTGAGCTCAGGAGTGAACCCTGTGGCACCCCACTGGTCACTTATCTCCAGGGTGAAGAAAAGATATGGCCAAACACCCTTTGATTTCAGCCAGTTAACCAATTCCAGTCTACCTAACAGTAGCTTTGTCTGCTTTAATACTCAGTTTTTCATTTAAAAAGAAATAGGTGTATGGTTATTTTTAGCTACTGGATTTCCCCCCAGAAATAACAAACCAATCTAATGAATAATGACTGTACTCTTGAGACGACTGTGCTGTTTTTTATATTCTTATCCAGGTGCCGCAGGTGGGCAGAAAGGATTTTTAGGCTGCATACGCTCTTTAAGAATGAATGGACTGACACTGGATTTAGAAGAGAGAGCAAAAGTCACACCAGGTGTGAAATCTGGTTGCTCAGGCCACTGCACCAGTTTTGGAATGTACTGCAAGAATGGGGGCAAATGTGTTGAAAAATACAATGGATACTCCTGTGACTGTTCCAATACTGCATATGATGGCCCTTACTGCAAAAAAGGTAAAGGTCTAGAAACACAATCTTCTGCATATCTATTTGGAAATAAGCTAAATTTACTGAAAGTTACTTCTGCGTAACAATGTTTGCATTTAGGTACTATATATGGACATTGTAGATCATATTTTAATGTTTAAAATATGTGAATGCTTACTTATAAACCACAAAATGCATCACACTCGTAGGTGTTATTATCACTATGCAAGAGATGGGGCATTTAACATACTTAGAGTCATTTAATATGTGTAGCAAATGTTTGCATTACTGGGAGAGGTTGGACTTGCTATGCTATAACAAAAAAGGAACAGTTTTATGGCATTTTAAGAACTAACGTATTTCATTTGTCATAAACTTTTACAGACTCCAGCCCATTTCACCCTTTTATTTATTTTTTTAAATAAATAGATTTTCATGAAGAATTTTATAATTCACTTGCTGTCCCCTGTCATGTGTTGCTGTGGCCCAGTCTGTGTATATGTGCTTTGTGTGTGCATATGTGTGTATATATATTTGTGTATATGTGTATATACGTGTGTTTGCGTATATATATATATATGTATGTATTGTAATGTTTGTAGGGGTGGTTTTGCTTTTTAAGTCCAGAGGAGGGCAACTAAAATGATCAAGGGTCTGGAGAAAAAGCCCTATGAGGAGCGGCTTAAGGAGCTGGGTATGTTTAGCCTGAAGAAGAAAAGGCTGAGAGGAGATATGATATCCATGTATAAATATGTGAGAGGAAGCCACAGGGAGAAGGGAGCAAGCTTGTTTTCTGCTTCCTTGGAGACTAGGACACGAAACAATGGCTTCAAACTACAAGAGAGGAGATTCCATCTGAACATGAGGAAGAACTTCCTGGCTGTGAGAGCCATTCAGCAGTGGAACTCTCTGCCCCGGAGTGTGGTGGAGGCTCCTTCTTTGGAAGCTTTTAAACAGAGGCTGGATGGCCATCTGTCAGGAGTGATTTGAATGCAATATTCCTGCTTCTTGGCAGGGGGTTGGACTGGATGGCCCATGAGGTCTCTTCCAACTCTTTGATTCTATGATTCTATGATTCTATGATTCTATGACTAGAATAGAAAGCAAAAAACCCACAAAACCCACAACCCACAACTCTCTCCATTACACTAGCATGGAATTATCTAGCACATTTGTCTCGTACTCAAGGGATTATATTCTTATGTTTTTAGCTTAAGTGATCCCTTGCAGTCTGAGGATGATTGTCCTCCAAGTGCAGTGTCTTGTTGGTGGATCCATAGGTGGCTGTGGAGCCCTATTCTTGATCTGCATGTTCTTCCACAGTGAGGACATCAGTTTCCAGGTGGAAGATGGTCTGAGTCAGGGTTGACTTGATGCGCCTTCCTCTTGGCATGTTTCTCCCTTTTGCCCTCCACTCGTGCCTCTAAAAATTCTGCAGCACTGCTGGTCATAGCTGACCTCCAGTTAAAGTGATCAAGGACCAGGGCTACCCAGTTCTCGGTGTCTATGCCAGAGATTTTTAAGGTTGGCTTTGAGCCCATCTTTAAATCTCTTTTCCTGTCCACCAACATTCCATTTTCTGTTCTTGAGTTCGGAGTAGAGAAACTGCTTTGGGAGATGGTGGTTGGGCATCCGGACAACGTGGACGATCCAGTGGATGGCAGAGGACCATCGCGTCAATGCTGGTGGTCTTTGCTTCTTCAAGCACACTGACATTTGTCTGCCTTTCTTCCCAAGAGATTTACAGGATTTTTCAGAGGCAGCACTGATGGAATCATTCCACGAGTTGAGTGTGATGTCTGTAGACAATCCACGTTTCACATATGTATATCAGGGTTGGTAGGACAATAGCTTTATAAACAAGCACCTTGGTCTTCCTATGGATGTTCTGGTCCTCAAATACTCTCTGCTTCATTCAGAAAAATGATGCACTTGCAGAGCTCAGGCAATATTGTATTTCAGTGTCAATGTTGACTTTTGTGGAGAGGTGGCTGCCAAGGTAGCGGAAATGGTCAGCATTTTCTAATGTTACACCATTAAGCTGTATTTCTGGCATTGCAGTGGGAATGAAAAAAATAAGCCCTGTTACCAGTAGTCACCAGACTACTGGTAACAGGGCTTATTTTTTATCATTGTCTTGTCTTTTTCATCATTTCAGAAAATTAGTTCAAAAAGTAGTGGTACATAGTGTGTTCCAGTTTCTAGCAAGAAAAAACCCCCTGTAAATATTCTTCAAAAGAAATTTTTGGAACATAGAGCATAGCAGAAACAAAGCGCATAGGATTTCTAAAATGCAAGATACTACATAATTCCATTAGGACAGAGGAAATAGCTATGATAAGTGGTCCTAAGAATTGCTGGGAGAAGAAAATCAATTTGAAGAGGTGGAAATTACATTTTGGCTAACTGAAGAAAAGTATGGGAGCTTATTTCCATTTTTTTTTACATCCACTGAGTTACAGGACTGTGCACTATTCCATTTTTTCAAAACAGGCTCTGGTTGATACAGCATTTTCGGGCATCAAATAGCCCATAACGGCGATCAGAGTAATTTCAGGGTAAAACCCACTGTGGATTCACTGCTTCACTGACATGGAATCCCCCAGTCAGCTTGGACTTAATTTAGTCACAGTATGGAGCCTGAATGAATATATCATCATCATCATATTTAATTACTTATTAATCGGCCTCCATCCGAGAATGCTCTAGGCGATTTACAGCTAAATTGTAAAAGATAAAATACATACATACAGAAATTAAAAATTAACAGAGATCGAATGCTCTAGTAAAAAGCCAGGTCTTAAGTGCTAGAGTAAAGGGCCCTAAGTCACGCATGGCTCTCATATAGGGCGGCAAGGAATTCCACAAGGCAGGGGCAGAAATAGAAAAAGCCCTGCGTCTGGTACTTTCCAAGTGCACTTCTCTAGGACCCGGTATATAGAGTAAGTCACGCTGGGCTGGTCGTTGCGACCTCCAATGATGGGAGAAGGAGAGGTGGTCCCTAAGGTACAATGGACCCTGACCATAAAGAATTTTAAAGGTCAGAACTAACATCTTATACAGGCCACGGTACTCAGTTGGAAGCCAATATAAATGTTGCAGCACTGGTGTTATATGGCATTTCATGGGCGTTCTTGTGAGTAGCCTGGCTGCTGCATTCTAAACAATACGGAGCTTTCGGGTCGTAGACATAGGAAGGCCAACATACAGGGCGTTGCAATGGTCCAGCCTAGACGTGACCGTGGCATGGATGACAGTTGCCAGAGCCTCGTCAGATAGGTAGGGTGCTAGTTGCCTCGCTTGTCGTAGATGGAAAAAGGCCTGTTTGCTGGCAGCAGTGACCTGAACTTGTCAGCTGCGAATCCAGGATGACACCTAAGTTCTTAACAGTGGTCGATGGAGATAGGCGGCACCATCGAAAGTGGGTAACGGATGAGTCAGACCTGCCGGGCGGCCATGCCAGAGAATCTCAGTCTTCGCCGGGTTCACCTTCAGTCTGCTAGCATGTAGCCATTTCGACAGAGCTTCCAGACATAGGGTGAAATTGTCTGGAATTGACGTTGCTCCAGGCTCCAGGCGCAGAAGAAGTTGGGTATCGTCCGCATATTGGTAGCAGTCCAAGCTGAAGCTCCGAGTCAAACTAGCAAGGGGTCTAACGTAGATGTTGAAGAGAAGAGGAGAGAGAATTGCACCTTGGGGGACTCCACATAGGAGGGGGGATCTATCGGAGACTTGATCCATGTACTCCATGAGTTGACTCCGGTTCCGGAGAAATGAGTTGAACCAATTAAGGGCCTGACCGCGAACTCCGGCCATGGCAAGATCGTAGTCGACGGTGTCAAACGCTGCAGTAAGGTCGAGAAGTACCAATAGGGCGGATCCACCGAACAGACTAATGGGCATGAAGCAAAAGTGCTACAATCTGGCTTGCAATGTAAAGAAAAGACTAGTTTGGACAAGCTGTAAGACTGAAGGGCCTAAGCATGGTAGAATAGCAGCGTGATGCCTGACATTGAAATACTGCATGTAGTATTCATATAGAAATTTTGTGTTAAGGCCCAAATAGCACAGTAGTTGACATAAAATTCAGGAAATGACTGACAATTTGATTTTACGCACACTGAAACTTTTATGTGCAGTCTTGTACAAATATACACTTTCAGCAGGCCATATAAGGGCACTGCCAATGGCAGTATGACCAAATCAGTTGTCAGAATCTCTTTCACATTGGGCATTGGATAAATAAGAAACCTTTTGAAGAGTCCATATGTATATTCCAAGAACAAACATGCCTTTTGCTTACTCTTTCTCATTCAACAGTCCGCCCCAGTTTGAATGCATTTAGAAGAGGCAGTAAAAAGGAGTGCTATGAACAGTCTAAACAAATAAATGCCACTGACATTGCAGACTAGCTAAATTGGTTTATAACTAGCAAACACTTTCAGAGTAAGTATGGGCTGTATATCATGGAGATATTTTTATTGATGAAATTCATGATTGGAATACCTGATTAATGGCTACAGAGAAATCTAACTACTTCTAGTCTAAGGAGACTAGGTCCCCTATATGAGCAATATTTCAGGTATCTGAAATTTGCAGTAGCTGCACCGAGGACAAAGCTGTCAAAATGGAATTTGACATCTCCTTCCATTAGGGCCTTTTTGCTGGGGGTGTATAATCAGCTGCAATTGTTCTTTCACTGATCTGAGAAATTGTTATTAGGAGTGGTTGAAATGAATGTGCAGTCCCAGAGATTGCTTTCCCGACCTTATTCTGCCCTTAGTTTATGTATGTTTTTTTTCTTTATCTCAGCAACAATCCAGCAGTTAATGGTATCTTTGAGGGTTGAACCTGTTTATATTCATTATTGCATTTATAATGGTTTTCTGTCCAAAGAGAGGAGTTAAGAGTCATAGCTTGAAATTAATGGGATTGCTTTTTATATATTGGGGCAACAAGAGATGTCCTCTCCATCATAGTGCCTTCAGAAAGAGGACAGACAGAAGACTAGAGTTGTTCTGTCACGCGCTGGGCCTGTAACAGCTGTATTTTTCTATAGGATGTATACTTTAAGCCCAGCGGGAAGCCAGGGGTGCCTCAAAGAGAGGTTCTCAGGGATTTTTCTGAAGTGATGGTCTTTAGAGTCATGGATGTTGGCGCATCCAGGACAGTGCATCCGCTAGGCAATTTTGTTTCCTCGGAAAGTAATGCAAGGTGAAATTGAATCTGCTAAAAAACTGGGCCCACCTTAGTTGTTTGGCATTCAAGTGTTGTGGAGTCTGTAATGCCTGCAGATTTTTGTGGTCAATCCATACCTCAAAGGAGTTCTGGGCCCTCCAGGAAATGGCGCTAAGTGAGAAGGGCTGCCTAAGCCACAAATGACTCCTTCTCCCACATATGCCAACGATTTTAATGTCTGAAAATATCTTGGATGGGTAGGGGCAGGGTATCAGCTTCCCCTTGGGTGTTTCTTATAGTAATATAACACCATAGGTTGCAACAGATGCATCGCAGTGTATAACAAAGGGGCAATCTGGGTGGGGGTGCGCTAGGATAGGCTCGCTGGTAAACATAAATTTTAATTGTTCAAAAGCCTGTTTGCACTCACAAGATGAATTTAACATTTCTCCTGAGGTTTTGGCCTTGTCTTTTTGGTCTTTATTAGGTCCATGAGGGCCAGTGAGATTTTTGCAAAATCTTTAATTTTCTACAAAAGTTTTCAAACCCAAGGAACTTTTGCAGCTCCCATCTAGTATGAGGGAATTCCCATTCCAATATATCCTACACTTTGCCCAGGACCATGCTCACTCCCTTTCCAGAGATATGGAATCCCAAGCAGTCCAGTTTTGTTTTGTGGAATTCACACTTGGACAGTTTGATGTAAAGCTGGGCATCTCACAACTTTTTCCAGCACCTGCATGACCAGTTTTATATGTTATTCCATTAATATGTTGTCAAGGTAAACTAGAACTCCCTTGTACAAGTGATGGTGCAACGTTTCATTTATTAATTACATGAAAACTCGGGGCGCATCGGCCAAGCTATCTTTCTTTGGTCTGATTAAGACTGGTGCTGCCATGGGGGAATTTGCTGGTTCAATGAACCCACATGCCAAAATTCTTGTCTATAAAGTCCCGGAGAATAGCTCTCTCTGTTCTACAAAATTGTAAATAACTTAGGGCTTCACAATTTAGCTTTGGGATAAATTTGGATAGCACAATCCATTTTTCTGATGCAGGGTAACAGGTCTGATTCCTTTTCACTAAACACATCTAAGTAATCATGATAAACCTCTTGGACAGTGGGGTCCCCAGATGTTTTTGGCCTTCAACTCCCAGAAATCCTAACAGATGGTAAACTGGCTGGGATTTCTGTGAGTTGTAGGCCAAAAACATCTGAGGACCCCAGGTTGAGAACCACTGCTCTAGGATGTCTCCATGAGGAGCCTCCTCCACTCCAGATAAGCTTGCTGTGTCAAGATCCCAACTACCTCTCCTCAGACCCAGCTGACAGGGAGTACACTCCATCTGAAAAAAACAGAAGTCTGTATCTTCCAATCTATGGAGAGATTCCCATGCCATAGCAAACTGTTATTATTGGGTAATTGGCCATGGGTGATATCACAAACTGTAATGTCTCTTGGTGGGTTCCCATCTTCATAACTGCGAAGTCTGTTTTGTACTCCACATGATCTTCCTATACCATGAAATCATCTGCAAAGCAATTGAAAAATACTTTGAAACTGGTATTCTTGGCATAGTTGTCTTCGAACAAATATCAGGATTGCTGAAATCTTACATTATTACTATGGTGAAGCGGAATACGCATGGCCAAAACTTACTCCTAGCTTCATATTCTATCTATATAAATAAAAATGTAATGTTCGTTTGTGGGATTAACAGAACTCAAAAACCACTGGACAAAATGACACCAAACTTGGACACAAGACACCTAACAACCCAATGTATATCCTTCAGCCAAAAAAATGGTTTTGTCATTTGGGAGTTGTAGTTGCTGGGATTTATAATTTACTTACAATCAAAGAGCATTCTGAACCCCACCAACGATGGAACTGAACCAAACTTGGCACACAGTTCTCCCATGATCAACAGAAAATACTAGAAAGGTTTGATGGGCAATGTCCTTTGGTTTTGGAGTTGTAGTTCACCCACATCCCAAGATCACCGTGGTTTCAAACAATGATGAATCTGGATCAAACACTACACAAATACTCAATATGCCCAAATGTGAACAATGGTGGAGTTTGAAGAAAATAGAAACTTGACATTTGGGAGTTGTAGTTGCTGGGATTTATAGTTCACTTACAATCAAAGAGCATTCTGAACCCCACCAATGATGGAATTGAACCAAACTTGGCACACAGTTCTCCCATGATCAACAGAAAATACTGGAAAGGTTCGGTGGGCAATGTCCTTTGGTTTTGGAGTTGTAGTTCACTTACATCCCGAGATCACTGTGGACTCAAACAATGATGAATCTGCATTAAACACTACACGAATACTCAATATGCCCAAATGTGAACAGTGGTGGAGTTTGGGGAAAATAGAATTTTGACATTTGGGAGTTGTAGTTGCTGGGATTTATAGTTCACCTGCAATCAAAGAGCATTCTGAATCCCACCAATGATAGAATTGTGCCAAACCTCCTACACAGAACCCCCATGTGGGCCACAGCAACGCGTGGCAGGGGACGGCTAGTTGTTTATAAAGCCAGAGACATTACATCCAGATCATCCCATCTATATAAATAAAATGTAATGTTCGTTTGTGGGATTAATATAACTCAAAAACCACTGGACTAATTGACACTAAATTTGGACACAATACACCTATCTGGCCAACAAGTGACCACCACACATAAAAACACTGAAAAACACCATGGAAAGGACTTAAAAAGCAAAAAAAAAACACCCCAAAATATGTGCAAAACCACATATATACACACAAACACACATACACATATGCACAAATATACATACACACATTTACACATATATACACACACAAAACAGACTGGGCCACAGCAACGCGTGACAGGGGACGGCTAGTTAAAAATAAAATTGGTAATTACGAATCAAGGGTATGAAAATGAAGGACAAGAATAATGAATATTTCCACTGAATAGTTTCACTTTTTCTCTTCCCTTCCCCCAGATGTTGGAGCATTTTTTGAAGAGGGGATGTGGCTGAGATATAATTTTACAAATGCAGGGAACAATGTGAAGGACTCAGGGAGCCGAACTCTCTTAAGCTCAAAAGACCCAGAGAATGCAATATCGCACGTCAGCCTGAAAAAAGAAGAGCTCAGTTTTAGCTTCAGCACTAACAAAGCTCCCTGTATCCTGCTATACATCAGTTCCTTCTCCCAGGACTACATGGCAGTGCTAGTGAATCCTTCTGGTAAGTGACTTGTATGCCATTGGCTTTTACAAGAATTTATGTAATAAATTAATATATTAACAGCCAAAACTCTTCCTAAATCTAGAGCAAAGTAGAACAACTGGATCTTAGTTGCAGCTTGACTAAATATGATACATTTACAAAATTCAAAGCACTGGGTTTGGCCTTTAATTTTTTTAAAGGGTTTAGGCTGAAGTTATTAGAAGGAATATGCATTGAGTTCAATCGTTGCGTCACTTAATATTTCTGATCTTTGCAAACATCAGAGAATAATAATAATAATAATAATAATAATAATAATAATAACAACAACAACAACAATAACAACAACACTTTATTTGTACCCCGCTACCATCTCCCAGGGAGCCCCCGGTGGCGCAGTGGGTTAAAGCACTGAGCTGCTGAGCTTGTTGATCGAAAGGTCACAGGTTCCGCTGTCAGCCCTAGCTTCTGCCAACCTAGCAGTTCGAAAACATGCAAATGTCAGTAGATCAATAGGTACCGCTCCGGCGGGAAGGTAACGGCGCTCCATGCAGTCATGCCAGCCACATGACCTTGGAGGTGTCTACGGACAACGCTGGCTCTTCGGCTTAGAAATGGAGATGAGCACCACACCCCAGAGTCAGACATGACTGGACTTAATGTCAGGGGACTACCTTTACCTTTACCTTTACCATCTCCCAAAGGGACTCGGTGCGGCTTACATGAGGCCGAGCCCAAACACAACAATACAAGCAATAATAACAGCAATACAAGCAATTAAAAACATAGACAATAAATACACAACAATATCAATAAGACAACGCACAATTAAAAACAGTGGGAAGGCCAAATGTAGAGTTAAAATTGGAAATAATGCTGGGACATGGATGAAAGGTGATACTAGTGTTTGTGGAAGGGCATATGGGCAGATCTAAAGAAATGTAAAGTGCTTTGGAGGACAAAGTGCTATGGGATCATTATTCCGGGAAGGCACACTGGAACAGCCACATTTTCAAGCTCCTCCTGAAGACTGCCAGAGTTGGGGCCTGTCTGATGTCTTTAGGAAGTGAGATCCAGAGTCGAGGGGCCACCACCGAAAAGGCCCTCTCTCTCGTCCCCACCAATCGCGCCTGCGATGCTGGTGGGATCGAGAGCAGGGCCTCTCCGGATGATCGAAGGGATCGTGTGGATTCGTATATGGAGATGCGGTCACGCAGGTAGGCGGGTCCCAAACCGTTCAGGGCTTTGTAGGTGAGAACCTGCACCTTGAATTGGGTCCGGGAGATGAATGGCAGCCAGTGGAGCTCCTTGAACAGGAGGAATGACCGCTCTCTGTAAGGAGCCCCAGTTAGCAACCTGGCTGCCGCCCATTGGATCATCTGAAATTTCCGGGCCATTTTCAAGGGCAGCCCCACGTAGAGTGCATTGCAGTAATCCAGTCTAGAGGTGACTAAGGTGTGGACCACTTTGGCCAGATCTGCCTTCCCGAGGTAAGGTCGCAGTTGGCGCACGAGTTTTAATTGCGCAAAGGCCCTCCAGGCCACCACCGCCGCCTGAGCCTCAAACGTAAGTGAAGAATTCAGGACGACCCCCAAACTGCGGACCTGTGACTTCAGGGGGAGTGCCACCCCGTCCAGCACAGGTTGCCACCCTATACCCCGGTCTGGTTTATAATTGACCAGGAGGACCTCTGTCTTGTCGGGATTAATCTTTATTTTGTTTGTCCTCATCCAGACAGCCACAGCGGTCAGGCATTCGTCTAGCACTCAAGGGGCTTCCTTGGAGTTAGGTGGAAAAGAGTAGTAGAGTTGTCTGTCATCTGCATACAGATGGCACCCAACTCCAAAACTCCGGATGACCTCGCCCAGCGGTTTAATGTAGATGTTAAAAAGCATGGGAGACAGAATAGAGCCTTGCGGGACCCCACAGGTCAAAGGCCAGGGGTCCGAGCAGGCGTCTCCCAGCTTCGCCATCTGGGATCGACCCTCCAGGAAGGACCGGAGCCATGACAGAGCCGTACCTCCAAGGCCCATCCCGGAGAGGCGTCCCAGAAAGATACCATGACTGATAGTATCGAAAGCTGCTGATAAAGTACCTGAGTAGTGGTCCTTGCCTAATGGCTTTGCCTCTGTTGTTTCAAAATGTCTTCTTAAAAATTTGTTTCTTCAACTTTTAATTTCAAATTAGCATGGATATATATATATATATATATATGACCACACCTTTATCCCAACTCAGGGCGGCGTACAGATTGGCAACAATTAGATGTTGAACACACATAAATACATCGTTTAAAACAGGTTAAATCACATAATAAAATTAGATAAAAACAATTCAAAACTATAAAAATCAATGACTTCCAGGTTTAAATTCATGTCCATTTGCATCGTTAAGCTGTTCCATATACGTTCACAATACTGAGTTTATCTGGTTACAATGAGGTTCCAAAAGCTTGCTTGAAAAGCCAAGTTTTTACTCTTTTCCTAAAGGTCAGGAGGGAGGGGGCCGATCTAATATCCCCAGGAAGGGAGTTCCACAGCCAAGGGGCCACCACTGAGAAGGCCCTGTCCCTGTAAGGCAGTGTCCTGTGAGGCAGGCAGGATTGAGAGCAGGGCCTCCCCAGATGATCTTAAATTCGTAAAAAGTTTATAAGGGGAAACACGTCCTGATAGGTATGTTGGGATTCAACTATATATATATATATATATATATATATATATATATATATATAGTTAGTAATTTCAGATTTTGTTTTGGTTAATTTTAAAATCTTTTCTTCAACTCTACTCTAGATGGAAGTCAAAATACTTATTTTTTATGTGGACATTTTTTCCCTTCTCTCTTCTCCTTCTGGTTTTTCTTCTCTCTGCTGGTAAATCTATCCTTTTTTATTTCTTTTAATCAGAATGTAAAGCTTTGTGATATGGCATTAATACAAATTATTTTAAAATTTGTATAAACATTATCTTAAATAACTTTTTTAATGTTTCTCTTTATAGAAAATTTACAGATTCGATACAACCTTGGAGGCACCAAAGAGCCATATAATATAATTGTAGACCACAGGAATGTTTCAAATGGCCAGCCACACAATGTTAACATCACACGGATAGGAAAGGAATTAACTCTCCAGGTAAATATGTTGCTGTGGCTCCAATGGGTAATAAAAGATGAGTAATGCTTATAATGATGCATGAAACACAGGAATATGGTAGGAAGGGATCTCATAAATCATCTACTCCAAGTCTTCCACTAGGAACCCAAAGGTTCACTGGCAGATGGTCATCCAATTGTTACTTAAAAGGGTGCAGTGAAGAAGGGTCTACGAGGTTCCAAAATAATCTGTTAGACCATTGAATGGAATATTACAACATTGTCTTTTCTTGTAAGCCAAATCAATTGATTCAAATCCTACTCACCGAAGAAGCGGAAAACAAGTTCATTCCATATATTTGAAGGTGTTGATCACTCTTCTCTTTTTCAAGCTCAACGTACTCTGGAAAAATGTATTTTATTCTGAATAAAATATTCTCACTGTGATTCACAATCTACTGAATTGTGTTATGCTCAGGAAAGTACAACATTCGACAGTTTCTTTCTTTTTCTTTTGTTTCCCTCCCCGCCTCCTTATGACTCTCTGTTTATTTAACCATTATTTTCAATATTCATAGCATGACTGTTCTTAAATATTGGCTTTCATTTTACATCTTCCATTCTTTTTCATATTTTTTTCAGCAAGGAAATGCTCATGAAAGTCATTTCCATGTTGTCAAAATGTGAGAAGAATTACTACAAATGGCACCAATGTACTTATAGTTTGTCTTTTTCAACAACTGCTTGAGAGTCTTGCTTAAATTCCTTTCCCATAAAGCCATTAAAGCAGAGATTCTCAAACTGATTTGTCCTACTGCCCCCTTTTCAGAAAAAAATTACTCATCCGCTCCCCAGGAATCTAATAATAATAATAATAATAATAATAATAATAATAATAATAATAAATGTATTGTCAAAGGCTTTCATGGCCGGAATCACTGGGTTGTTGTAGATTTTTTTGGGCTATATGGCCATGGTCTAGAGACATTCTCTCCTGACGTTTCGCCTGCATCTATGGCAAGCATCCTTAGAGGTAGTGAGGTCTGTTGGAACTAGGAAAAAGGGTTTATATATCTGTGGAATGACCAGGGTGAGACAAAGGACTCTTGTCTGCTGGAGCTAGGTGTGAATGTTTCAACTGACCACCTTGATTAGCATTTGATGGCCTGGACAGTGCCTGGAGCAAACTTTTGTTGAGAGGTGATTAGATGTCCTTGTTTGTTTCCTCTCTGTTGTTGTGCTGTTGTAATTTTAGAGTTTTTTAATACTGGTAGCCAGATTTTGTTCATTTTCATGGTTTCCTCCTTTCTGTTGAAATTGTCCACATGCTTGTGTATTTCAATGGCTTCTTTGTGTAGTCTGACATGGTGGTTGTGAGAGTGGTCCAGCATTTCTGTGTTCTCAAATAAAATGCTGTGTCCAGGTTGGTTCATCAGGTGCTCTGCTATGGCTGACTTCTCTGGTTGAAGTAGTCTGCAGTGCTTTTCCTTGATTCATGTTTGGGCAATGCTGCGTTTGGTGGTCCCTATGTAGACTTGTCCACAGCTGCATGGTATACGGTAGACTCCTGCTGAAGTGAGAGGATCCCTCTTGTCCTTTGTCTAATGCTAATCAAGGTGGTCAGTTGAAACATTCACACCTAGCTCCAGCAGACAAGAGTCCTTTGTCCCACCCTGGTCATTCCACAGATATATAAAACCCTTTTCCTAGTTCCAACAGACCTCACTACCTCTGAGGATGCTTGCCATAGATGCAGGCAAAACGTCAGGAGAGAATGCCTCTAGACCATGGCCATATAGCCCAAAAAAACCTACAACAACCCAATAATAATAATACTTTATTTATACCCCTCTCCATCTCCCCCAGGGGGACTCAGTGCGGCTTACATGAGGTCACGCCCATCAGTACAATACACAACAATAAAACACAAAAACATAATAAAACCAAAAAATAAAATACATAAAATGCAAAATTAATATAATAAGCGACACAACAATATAAAATCAGACATTAAAACACAAAAGATTTCACAGGGCAGGGCCAAATTCAGGATAAAAATTTAAAACACTGGGAGATAGGACAATAATAATAATAACTTTATTTTTATACCCCACCACCATCTTCCCTAGGGAACTCGGAGGGACAAGCCCAAAAATTACAGATAAAACAGAGGGACAAGCCCAAAAATTACACATAAAACAGAAAAATACAATTAAAATCAATCAATAAAGTAATAAAACAAATGATGATCTTAAAGTCTAGATGGTTCATTCGGAGAGATACGTTCGGATAAGTAAGCCGGATTTAGCAGTGATCTGGAGAGGATGTGTATTCACAGTTTAAATAATAAAGACTGTGTATGATAGGTAAAAAAATATATAATATTTTATTTCTTTTCACAAAAGAATGTTTTTAAAAACATCTTTATATTTACAACCACCATGTCGGACTACACAGAGAAGCCATTGAAATACACAAGCATGTGGACAATTACAACAGAAAGGAGGAAACCATAAAAATGAACAGTCTGGCTACAAGTATTAAAAAAAACTCTAAAATTACAACAGTACAACAACAGAGAGGAAACAAACAAGGACATCTAATCACCTCTCAACAAAAGTTTGCTCCAGGCACTGTCAGGCCATTATATGCAAATCAAGGTGGTGAGTTGAAACATTCACACCTAGCTCCAGTAGACAAGAGTCCTTTGTCCCACCCTGGTCATTCCACAGATATATAAACCCTTTTTTCCTAGTTCCAACAGACCTCGCGACCTCTGAGGATGCTTGCCATAGAGGCAGGTGAAACGTCAGGAGAGAATGCCCCTAGAACATGGCCATATAGCCCGAAAAAATCTACAACAACCCATCTTTATATTTATCTCATTGTTTGTGACTTTGTTAAGATCTAATATTATTTTTTCAAAAATACATATTCATAATATTTGTATTGTTCAGGATGCTTTTTTATTTCATAGAAATAACTGTTCCAACATGAAGCAGAAGGATGTCTTTCCCTTTCTGTAGCTCACATCTTCATAGCCACTAGATGGCAGTAGATCATAACTTTTTGAAAGGATTTGGTTTTCTCATCCTTTCAGAAAATCAAATTTCAGGTTTGCACAGAACCATCTTTTTAGGAAACTATTTTTTTAAACCTGATGTCAGAAAAGGCATTATATTGTGAATCATCCTCTACTCCTATGGTAGTTCAAAGAATCATTTTATGTGCTCCCTTTTCCTGCATAACTGAGTATAATTAGCAATTCTGATATAAACAGTGGAGAAATTCATTGTCATGGTATTTGAGCCAGCTGATAGGGTGTTCCTGGATTTATAATTTCTGTGTACTAGTGAACACAAAGTCATTAGTAACCATTCCCAAAATTGCACTTTCATCATCAACTTTTCTCTTCAAAATAAAAAACAACAATTTAAATGTGTAGTAACTGCTGTTACTTTCTTCTTTCTTGTTTTGACATCCTGTAATCCAACACTCTCATCCTTTCCATTGTGATGGGATTGAATAATAGAATCATAGAGTTGGAAGAGACCTCATGGGCCATCCATTCAAAGCATCCCCGACAGATGGCTATCCAGCCTCTGTTTAAAAGCTTCCAAAGAAGGAGACTCTACCACACTCCGGAGCAAAGAGTTCCACTGCTGAACGGCTCTCACAGTCAGGAAGTTCTTCCTAATGTTCAGATGAAATCTCCTTTCTTGTGATTTGAAGCCATTGTTCCGTGTCCTACTCTCCAGGGCAGCAAAAAACAAGTTTGCTCCCTCATTCTATGACTGCCTCTCACATATTTATACATGGCCATCATGTCTCTTTTCAGCCTTCTCTTCTTCAGGCTAAACATGCCCAGTTCTTTAAGCCGCTCCTCATAGGGCTTGTTCTCCAGACCCTTGATCATTTTAGTTGCCCTCCTCTAGACACATTCCAGCTTGTTCTTATGATTGTGATGGCACCGAATGGTGCTTGCTGTGAGGCCACCCTGAGTCCCCTTGGGGGTGAGAAGGGTGGGGTATAAGTGTATGGAAAAAAATAAACAACACATCTCTGTATTATAAGCATCCCACAAAACATCTTGAGCATGCTAACTGCATGCAATACTTGCGAAGAATGAAACATGAGAGCTGAGTAGCAGAAAACTGTATATGGTGGTGTATTGTTCTCAAGCAAGTCCTGGTTCAGTACTATTGTAAGGCCCTCGTCTACGCTGACCATTTAATGCAGTTTCAAGATGACTAGAAATTGCAGTGCCTACAAAATGGAAACCACCTATGCATGCTGCAGTGTAGATTAACAGGTTTACAGCACATTAAAGAAAGTCACAGGGAAGTCTGATAAAAGACCTTTAATGCACTGTTGTTGTTCATTCGTTCAGTCATTTTCGACTCTTCGTGACTTCATGGACCAGCCCACGCCAGAGCTCCCTATCGGTCTTCACCACCCCCAGTTCCTTCAAGGTCAATCCAGTCACTTCAAGGATACCATCCATCCATCTTGCCCCTGGTTGCTCCCTCTTCATTTTTCCTTCCATTTTCCCCAGCATCATTGTCTTCTCTAATGCACTGTAGCAAATCCCAATCCCAGGTCACAGGGCGCAATCGGCTCTGAAGAATGTGAAGCACATTGTAGACCAGAGGTCCTGAAACTTTTTAAACAGAGGGCCAAGTCACAGTCCCTCAAACTGTTGGAGGGCCAGATTATAACTGGAAAAAAAAACATGAATTAATTCCTATGCACACTGCACATATCTTATTTGTAGTGCAAAAAAACACTTAAAAACAATACAGTAGTTAAAATGGAGAACAATATTAACAAATATAAACTTATTAGTATTTCAATGGGGAGTGTGGATCTGCTTTTGGCTGATGGGATAGGATTGTTATTGTTGTGTGTTTTCAAGTAATTTCAGACTTAGGTTGACCCTGAGTGAGGGATGGGTAAATAACCTTGGAGGGCCGTATCCGGCCCCCGGGCCTTAGTTTAAGGACCCCTATTGTAGACACTCACCCTCGCAGAAGCACTTTGTAGACTTTCAAATGTGGATTGAGGGCCTGCCAAAAATGCCCCATGGGCATGTCTGCTGGCAGGGGGCTAACTGACCCCCTTGAAGGGGTTATTTATTTACTTACCTACTATATTTGTATACCACCCTTCTGAGCCCTTAGGCGACTCAGGGCGGTTTACAATGGCAACAATTCAATGCCCAAAAACAACATAAAACATTTATAAACATTAACACATAATATAAAACGATAACAAGAATACTAAAAGCGGGGAGGGAAGGAAGGAAAGAGAGGAGGAAGGATGAAACCAAAGAGTGAAATAAGGAATGAAAGAAAGAGGTAGCGAAGGAAGAAAGGAGAGAAAGGGGAAGGGGAAGAAAAAGAGGGGAAGGAATAGGTAGGTACCTCTCTTTCGTAATAGTCCAGATATCTACCTCTACTTTGAAAATTCTTACTATAGGCCACAGCAACGCGTGGCAGGGTACAGCTAGTGAGGTTATAAGCTGGTTGATAATTACTATATTTACTGAAGCTCACCTTTTTTGGTTAAATCATTTGCGTCTCCTAATAAAAACATTGTCCCATCTTGTTGTCCAGTCGTTCTAATTCCTATATCTTTTACATTGCATTTTCAAATGCTTGCTCAAACAACTAAGTCTTGACTCTCTTCCGAAATGTTAAGAGGGAGGGGGCCAATCTAATATCCCCAAGAAGGGCGTTCCAAAGCTGAGGGGCCACCACTGAGAAGGCCCTATCTCTCGTCCCCAACAAACGTGTTTGTGACACAGGCAGGATCGAGAGCAGGGCCTCCCCGGATGATCTTAAAGTTCTAGCAGGTTCATAAGGGAAGATGCACTCAGACAGGTAAGTTGGGCCAGAACTGTAATTGATTACCTCCACTTCTGTCAATTTCCTTTCTATTTGCCATCTCCTATGCCTTCAGAGTGCTGGTGTGCATCTCTTCTAAAAATTGGGCGGGGTGGGGTGTGGATCTGCAGAGCAATTTGAGGTCAGGTTCCATGGTAATACTGTATTCACCTTCCTGTCCTTGAACCAGTTCCTGACATATCAATCTAATCACTCACACAGCCAAACTGGTTCCTCCCAAACTATTTCCAAACCGACCTAAGTGGTCAGTGTAGATGTGTGCAAATCTCCTAAGAAACTAACTTCTATCTTTTTCTTCTTCTTCTTCAGTTGGACCACTATCCTCCAGTTACCTATACCCTTCCAGGACCATCAAGCCTTCAGTTCAGCTCACTGAAGTCTCTGTTTCTAGGGAAAGTAATAGGTAAGAATCCATTTTATTCCTTTGTTTGCATACAACTGCTTATGTTTAAGAAAGCTTTAGTTGATTAGCTGTTGAACATTCAGTTTGTGATTGATTGATTAATTATTTGAGTATGCCGTGTATACATGTTGGTGTAGAAGTGTGTAGAAGTGTGATGCTACCACATTACAAAAAATGAGGTTATAGGCTCGTTGATAATCACCATATTTACTGAAGCTCACCTTTTTTGGCTAAATTACATTACCAAAATTGAGGTGAGCATTAGATTAGATAATGTGTTGCCCCACTGCCCTGTGGATTCGTCATGGAGGCTGGCGAATGAGATGAGGTCCTAAGAATTTTTGCTCTCCTAGAATTACAGGGTTAAAAAGAAGAAGTTCAGAAGGGAAACCAGTGATTATGGGCAGTCCCAGAAAGCCTCCCTGCACTTGGTACTGCTGCCGCTTCCCCAGCTTCCACACCACCTGGCACTGGGCACTGCTGGTTACTACCATTGCCACACCGCTACCATGTTTGTTTTAAAGAGAGTTTATCTTATTATTATTATTATTATTATTATTATTATTATTATTATTATTGTGAGTTTTTCCTTTAACAGTGAAAGAGGGGGAACAATCATCATGATAGAAAGGTGGGAAATTGCGAGACAGATGGTGTATAGAGAAGTAAAGGGGGGGGGTAGGAAATAAGTTGGGGATGGGGGGGTAGGAAATAAGTTGGGGATGGGGGGTGGTGAGAGAAGGGGTCAAAGGGGGGAGGAGGGGGTAGAAATATGTATTTTGAACTCCCGTTCAGTCCACAGAGGCATGATCAACAAGTTGTACAATTCTTCTTATAGCATAGTATGATCCATATTCGATCTCACTCATAGTACCTTAAATGTCCAATTTAATTTTTTCTCTCAAGTACTCTCCCAATTGGTTCCAGTTTGTTTGTTTTCCCTTGCTCTGCTCCTCTAATAGATACAAAAGCCTGTCTAAGTCCTTAAATTCAGTTGTTATTTTTTTAATCCAGTCTTCGTTGGTTGGGATTTCCTTGTTTTTCCATTTCTGTGCAATTAATATTCTTGCAGCTGAGAATAAGTAAAAGAGGTCCAAATCTGTTATATTCAGTAAATAATACTCAGGTTTCACATCAAATTTTGTTTTAATTATATTTTGAGAATGTTGGTGCACCAATAACCAAAATTTTTGGATTTTCTTACAACTCCAAAATAAATGATAATAGGTTCCAGTCTCCTTCCCACATTTCCAACAAATTCTATCATAATTTTTGTTAAATTTAGAAAGCTGTACCAGTGTCAAATGCCATCGAAGGTATACTTTATGCCAGTTTTCTATTATGTTAATGGCTGTCGTAAATTTTAGCTTAGTCTTCCAAACATATTCCCATTCTTTTAAGAGTATAGAGTGACCTATATCTCTGGCCCACTTGATCATATTTTCCTTTACTAATTCCTTCTCATTGTTCCATTCTAACAGATTTTGATATAGTATTTTAATCAGTTTTATTTCTTTTCTCATTATAATATCCCAACAAGCGTCTTTTTCGTTGAAGCCCACTTATCTTAAAGGAAGAGGATCAGGGCAACGTCAAGAGAGCCTCTCTCTCTTTCTTTGGAAGTGGCAAGGGATGAGAGGGAGCCCTGTGAGTTAGAAGTGTGAGGTGTTGATGCGTCTCCATTGCTCCTGGGCATATAGGGCATCTTCCAACCCCTTGTTGCTACCGCCTCCACTCCCGATGGAGACCTTCTCTCTTTCTGTGCTGCTTGGTGGCATTAGGAGAAGAGTTGGCTGTACAGAGAGAAAGGGAGCACAGAAGGAAAGAGAGAAGTCCAGGTCCTCCAGCTGACTTTGCTCTGTGTGTATGTGAGCTCTTTTTCTCTGTGTGTGCTCTCTCCATTAATGCAAGCTAAAATAGCACTTCCTTCTCTGCCACAGCATCACACTGCTGGTTTGTGTTGAATTTATGATAAAAAAAATACTCCTAAGCTCTTTTTCATATGTAGCACTGCTGGACCATGTATTCCCATTCTATATAATTGGTTTTCATTGTTTAAATGTAAAATTTTTGCTTTTGTCTCAATTTAATTTAATTTAATTAATTTCCATCTGATCTCCATCCAATTCTATAGTTTATTGAAGTGTTAAAGAAGGTGTTACTGGGGAAATCCTGTTCAACCCTACAGCCATTGTCTTGTGGGGTTCCTCAGGGTTCAATATTGTCTCCCATGTTGTTTAACATCTACATGAAACCGCTAGGGGAGATCATTTTGGGGTGCGATGTCACCTGTACGCAGATGATGTCCAACTCTATCACTCCTTCCCACCTGCTACCAAGGAGGCTGTTCAGATCCTGAACCAATGCTTGGCCACTGTGACGGTCTGGATGAGGATGAACAAATTGAAACTGAATCCAGACAAGACAGAGTTACTCCTGGTCAGTCGTAAGGCCAAACAGGGCATAGGGTTACAGCCTGTGTTAGCTGGGGTTACGCTCCCCCTGAAGACACAGGTTTGCAGCTTGGGTGTGATCCTGGATTCATCGCTGAGCCTGGAACCCCAGGTTTCAGCGGTGACCAGGGGAACATTTGCACAGTTAAAACTTGTGCGCCAGCTGCGCCCGTACCTTGGGAAGTCTGACTTGGCCGTGGTAGTCCACGCTCTGGTTACATCCCGTATAGACTACTGCAATGCGCTCTACATGAGATTGTCTTTGAAGACTGTCTGGATGCTTCAAATGGCCCAACGAACAGCAGCCAGATTGCTAACAGGAGCGGCGCTCAGGGGGCATACAATTCCTCTGTTGCACCAGCTTCATTTGCTGCCAGTTTGCTACCAGGCACAATTCAAAGTGCCGGCTTTAGCCTGTAAAGCCCTAAATGGTTCTGGCCCAACTTACATGTCCGAATGCATCTCCCCTTATGAACCATATAGGACCTTAAGATCATCTGGGGAGGCCCTGCTCTCGTTACCGCCTTCGTCACAAGTACTTTTGGCGGAGATGAGATGAAAGACTTCTCGGCGGTGGCCCCTCGGCTGTGTAACGCCCTCCCTATAGATATTAGATCGGCCACCTCCCTTTTAACATTCCGGAAAAAAGTAAAGACGTGGCTTTTTGAACCAGCATTTCCAAATGCAGAGTAACTGACATAGGAAAATGGAATGAAGACAATGAGACTGGACAACGTTTTTAACAAAGAGACACTATGCATGTATTTTTATTGATATGTTTAATTTATTATTATATTGTTATTTTCCTGATATAGAATACTATTAAGATTGTTAAGAGACTATACCAGTAGAAATTTGAAAGAGAAAAATCCATCCCATGGCTTTCAGCTTGCCTGTAATGCTTTTAGAATCCATTTCTGCAAGAAGGAATAAGTTCTTCAATCAATTAGAAAATCCACGCCGGATTTTCCATCTGCCTTCACCTGCATTTCTCTGTACAGCGCTAGGATGGGGGTGTGTTACTACTGACTGCAATCAGACAGCAAAAACTCCTCTTTGCAACAAAAGGAGAGGCATCTTATGCACAGAGATGCTCCAAGTTTGGCATTTCCTTTTTCCTACCAAAAAGGAATAATTACCAAACGAGACAGTGAGCAAGGATATAGAACAGGTAAGCTATATAGGAGATTATTCTCACTGGTATGCAAGGTATTTGCATCCTTTTTTCTAGTCCTAAGGTGTATAAGGAAAATTAACACAGTTTTTTAAAGTGTTGCTGTCCATATATTAATCCAAACTGAGATTTCCTTCTTTAGGCTCTTTTATAAGCCTTTGAGGTGTATTTCTATATAGTATTTGTTTTGTGGGCTTTGGGGGTTCTATTTTGACAGCTTTGCTACAAATCATTCCAATTCCAAACGGATGTCAGTGTCGTGCTAATGTTGAAAAAAACAGGCCCGTGGGACCTTAAATTTATTGTTTTCTAAGATCTTTGGAAATGACTAAGATGCAGCTCCATCTTTTCCCTCGACAAAGCTGAATCATTTAGGCATCACCTGTATCAGAGGCATATACAACGGGCCTCTGAGATTAATTCCTTAAGATTTCTAAACCTCATTGTAATTCCTTTTTCTGCTCACAATCAATCATGTCAACAAGAAACAAAAGAAGTCTGTGCATTTCACTGAATGAATGACATATGCATGTAATGTTTCCATGGGTGTCCGTGTGTACATGGATGTGTATGCATTTATATGCATCGGTGTGCATTTTTTTCAGTTCTCAGAAAATAGTACATTGAAACATAAAACAAAACAATATATAAAAGTGAAGGATGGACCACACTACTTCATGGCATGCAGACAAAATTAGGCCATTCTAAACTTCAAGCATTTTAAAATCAAATCAGACTGTTCTTTTGTTGATGAGAACATTTTTATTTAGTACTAGCTGTCTCCTGCCACGCGTTGCTGTGGCCCAGTCTGGTGATCTGGAAAAAAAATTGTCGTGTCAGGAGCGACGAGAAACTGCAAGTCGCTTGTGGTGTGACAGAATTGGCCGTCTGCAAGGACGTTGCCCAGGGGACGCCCGGATGATTTGATGTTTTTATCATCCTTGTGGGAGGCTTCTCTCATGTCCCCGCATGAAGAGCTGGAGCTGATAGAGGGAGCTCATCCGCCTCTCCCCGGATTCGAACCTGCGACCTGTCAGTCTTCAGTCCTGCCGGCACAGGGGTTTAACCCACTGTGCCACGGGGGGCTCTGGAAAATAAAGTAATGAGAAAGTGTTGGTTTCTAATATATGTCATTTCTTTATGCTTGTGGGTAAACAGTATTTCTTCCTGTTTCTTTGTTAGTGTTGATGTGGAGATTGTCTGGTTTGCCTGCTCTGGAACATGCAACATATTATTGTCCTTCTTTAGGGGTCCCTTTCAAATCCATGATACTATATCTGATACTATATCTGAATCATATATATCTATCTATATCTATGACTGGATGGCTCTTTGTCAGGAGGGCTTTCATTATGTTTTCTTGCCCAGGTAAA